TGTGCAGGGTAAAAAATCCAATACTAATCTGCATATATTTATCTGTCCTTTACCTATTACTTTCCAGATGTGCTTTACCAAAAAAAATGAGAAATTTGGTTCATAACATTAACATATAAACTGCAAGTCTGTCGTTTGGCACATGTCTGTAATCTTAGCTACTCTGGAGACGAGGGAAGGAGGATCACAATACAGTTTTACCACATTAAATCACACTGATATTTGTAGGTGATCAAATGTTTATGAATGAATAAAATTCTGCAATACAAATATAAAATAGTATACTAAAAGACTGCAAAATAAGGTTTTATCATGATAAACACATAAACGTGCCCGTAGAAGAAATTTAAATATTCTTTTTAAAATTAATTTTATTGGTACATTTTAGGTGCACAATATGACATTCATCATTGGAAATTTGCACCTTTACATGATGTCTACTGGTTCTTATTTTTTCCCCATTAAATATTCTTATGTAGAATGCAAATATAAATTTCAGATGAATCCCTCAAATTTAAAGATGAACATAGACATCATTCAGAGCTTAATATATCATGTGTATTAAATGTGTAAATAGAAGCTGATTTTTCACATTAGATCTGTTTATACTTGTGATTCACTGAATATAAAAAATGTCTAAGACTTCACTCATGAGATCATTCATGAGATAAAAGACAAACCCACAATGGGACTTTAAAGACTGTAAGCTCTTCTTAACTCAAACCCTAACCTCAATATTAAGAATAATGAAGCTCCTGGAGACTGCTAAGACACATTCATTATTGTAATGATTCAAGCTGCTTACCCTGAGGGCCACCATTTTTCTAAGCCAAAAGGGCGCTAGTAGCCCACCATGACAATTAGCATCTGATAAATGATGTGTGCCCCACTTCGAATATACTGATTGATCGTTTCCAATTAATTCCTGAGAGAGAAATCGATGGTTTCTTCTTAGAGTGTTTACATTAATTGATTTATATGAATAATGAATACCCTATATCCACAATTTGCGAGGGAAGATGGGCCATTTTATTTATAACTTGTTTCTACTACTGAGCATTAGTATACAGTTTCAGGGCTCAAAAATATATAAAAGAACATGAAAGATTAAGTAAACATAGGAAATTTAACAGCACCTACATTTGGACATAGACAAATGTTGGGCTGATTCAAATACAAGGAAACAGCTTCGAAAGAGTTTTCTGTTGGTTGGGTTGTAATTTAGAAATGTCATCCATCATCTACTGAGATCCTATTTTTAATTTGGATTTATACTCCTTATAACCACTGCTAAACTAGGTGACATCTCTTATATGACACAAAGGATGATCTAACCAAGTGTCTACTCCATTCTGCTTCTACGAACAGTTACCAGGTACTTAATGTATGTCAGCCATAGTTTGAGGGTCTCGGCTGCTTGATGGGGAGTAGGACAGAGGAGGTCAGGTCCTCCCTGAGGATGTGGCCCAGGGCAAATGACAGGCACACAGGTATAACGAAGCTCTAACTCACAGGAAAGCTGGTTGTCTGTAGGAAAGAATGATGACACATATTTAGTGAAGGGTATTATGAGAGGACAAAATTAAGCTGAGAAGTGAAAGATCCCAAAATATTATGGGATGGAGGAATAACATAAGGAAGGGTTCTAAGACAGGAAACAAACTCTGCCTATTTCAAGAACCGAAAGAATTCCTGTGTTTCTACAAAGCATGGAAAGGAAGTCAAGAGATGGGTATGTTTGGATAGAAGAATATCCATCCCCTACATCACAGAAGACAAGAAAAACGGCCTTTGTTCCTAGTGCCCTGGAAAGCTGCTTAGAGGTTTTAAGCAGATGAATAAGGTCCTGGGGGAAATCTCCATACCATTTGCTCAATTTTGCTGGGAATCTAAAAGTCTTTTATGTTGTGTATGTGTTTTTTTGTGTGTGTTTTGCTTCTTTGTGGTACTGGGAATTAAATTCAGGACCTTTGTACTGTGCTACACTCCCAGCACCCTCCCTTTTTGTTGTTGTTGTTTTAGACAGGCCACTGCTAATCTGCCAAATTGCCCCAGGCTGCGCTCCAATTTACACTCCTGCTTCAGCCTCAGAGTGCTGGGATTGGAGGCCTGTGCCACTGTGTCCAACATAATGTCTATTTTTTAAAAAAACAAAAACTATTGCAGCAATCCAACAGATGATGTTGGCTGGAACCAAGCATTTAGGATTTAGGACTTAAGAAAACGTGGCTAGCAAGGAAAAATGACAACAGTACGGAGTAGTGCAGTAAAAGTTATGATTATAGAATTTCAAGTCCAGTAAAAAAGGTGGGTTTGTCAGAAGCATAAGATTCAGTGGGGGCAAATAACTGAGTACCAGGAGAGTGTCCTTTGAACTTGGCATCACTAAAACATCTGCTGAGCATGGCAAGACTTCCTTCAGAAGTGTGTTGGGGCAAACATTAAGTTGGTGTGGGTTAAAAGGAAAATGAAGATTTCTACTCTGGTAAAGCAGTGGCCCACCTACCACAAAACAAATAGATTCTCAGTGCAACTTACCTTTCATACTTTGTTTTCCGGGAAATAAAGAAAATTCCCAAGCTAATTCACAAGGTAAGAAGACCAAACCCCCAAACTCTTACATTAAGCCAGGAATCCTGCCAACCTATAGATGAGGGGATTATCTACTTCCACCAGACACAAATGAAAATGAAATGGAAGCACAAAACAACGCAAGTGATACAAAATTATCAAAAATGGCTGGGCTGATTTGGGAGAAAGAAAGGTAAGGAAAATTGGGGGGAAATTTTGAAGTTTAAACTCAGGGAAGGGTTTAAAGATCAGATCAGAAATGCCAATACTTTGTCTACACTGCTTGGGATTACAGGTAATGTGGATATGATAGAAACACCATGAACTGGCGATTTGGATTCAAGAGCAGTGTACAGCATATTTCCTCCCATGTAAGAGTGAGATAGGCAGGTGGCCATCATGCACATATCTGAGTCTACAGCTGTAGTCCAGGCTCCTGGCAGCTCACTGTCAGTACACTGACATTGCAAGCCATTTCAAGGGAAAAACAGAGGAAAAGAAAAAACAATTTTATATCTCTAAGATGTGAATCATAACTTGCACATGTCACTTCTCCTTATATACAAGTAGCCAAAATCTAGTGTTATAGCAAACTAGTGTTATAGAATCCAGTGTTTCTTCTAACAGCAGAAGAAACTGGAAAATTTATCCTTAAGCAGGGTAGCCTTTTCCAGCTAAAACCCAGCGGTGGGATTGTTTACTAAAGTAAATGAGAAATGAGAAATAATAGCAATTCCCACAGCAGCACAGTGGTAGGGAAACAGAGGCCAGGAAAGAGAACTTACAGAACATGAGCAGAATGAGAAGCTCTAACATAGCCATGGTCCATCACAGAAAAGATTAGAAATGTGGAGCAAAGAAAACATTGAGGGAAAAAAGGCTTGGACTTCTGTGAACAGAGAAAAACATATCCTCAGAAAAATGAAATACAACACATATAATGAAAAAAACAGAACAATTCACAATTAGATATACTGTAGTGAAGACAGATACTAATCAAGGGCCATCTCAAAGAAAAGAAAGGAGAAGACTTCGAAAGAACTGCAAGTCCTCTGATGACCTTCATGTAAAACTGGAAACCAGAAAAGTGTGGATTAATTTACTTGATATGTGAATCTAAAATCACACATAGTAAAACTACCTTCCAACATGGATAAATCAAAAATAGATATTCTAACTGATCATAGAATAAGATGACAAAGAAACAAATATTTCATCCATCAAAAAGAACTAAGAAATAATACATAAAAGAAATCAAGACAGTAGGATGACATCAGACAGGAAAAACAAACCACAAAATAAATACTTCGACTTTATAAAGTTATCAAGCGTTTTCATGTTTATATAGTCTTCCTTTATTTCATTTTTCTCCCATCCTATTCATAGATTCCTAGAAGGTTAAGAAGTTTATTACATTCAATAGCATCTTCTCAAGTCTTTAATATTGTTAAAAGAAAATACATGGAAGTTTTAAAGCTGGCTTCATTTACTCAAATATTAAGAGTGTATGCTACATGCCAGACATTGTGCTAAGCCTTCTGAAACAAAATTAAGTGAAGACATATAGGACTTCCACTCTCCAGTGGCTTTTGTGTATGCCCTTGGGCATTTCTCTTAATCTCTTTTAGTTTATATTCACCAATTAAATGAGATTTTCAATAAGACTATGTATATAACAAATATGTCATGGAACCTAAAATAAGAGACTAATAAATGGTTAAGTATAAAAAATGGGTTTTAAACTGTTATTAAAGTTATACTGTGAGATGAAGCTAAAGCTATAAGGAAATAAGTGTCCTAAAGCTAAAACTAGAACTTGCCTTGGTGGAACTCTTCATTGGGCTGTTTCTTGAAAAAATCCTATGTCACTGACAGAAGGAATTACCTTTATTATCATGGCAAATACAATCTAAATATAGCTTTCATCAATCAGAGCTGGAAAAAAAGGTATCAGACCATAGGGAATATGAGTCTGCCACTGGTCACGCAAGATTATCTTACACATAGTATACTCACTAATGGAACTATAGTTTACTCCCAGATTCTACCACAGAATGGAAAAGTGTACGAGATTATACAATCGTTTTTATTCTAATTCCATTTCTGGAATTAAAAAGTAACTTTCTAAATATCAGTATTTTCCAAAAATTTTTTGCAAGGAGTTACTCTCAACATGGACAAAGATACCTCGACTGCTGAGAAGTTATAGGACCCCAATAACAATGACTAAGTAACTTTAAGTTTGGTTGTCAGGAATCACTGACTGCTGAGAAGCACTCAAGTAAACTTTGAGCAAGTCTTCCTGTCTCTGTAAGGTAGCCACCAAAATAAAAATAAGGAAATTTAACTATTTTAGTCTAAATACTTCATTTACTATAACATGACTAGCACAAGGTTGTGATTTATTAACCTAGTTAATGGCAGAGGAGTAACTGGGTAATTCAAAACTTTATTTTGATTCTTTTGTCATCAAATCCAAATTAATATCCAAAGGCACATACATGTTTGCATTTACTAAACTTTAAACATTATGTGTATTGAAATCAATGGTTTAAATGGGCGTACAATGTGGTCTTTCAGAGTAGTCATTTGCAGAAATGGGAAACAATTTTTGAGTAATGCAATTTTAATTCCTATTGAGGTTGGTTAACTTGTTAGAACATTAGGTTAATAAGGCCAAAGTCCAGGTTTAAATTCCAAATAGTCTAATTAGCTTTCCAAATTGACATTTATGACACCACATGTTGCTAATGAAAACTGGGTACTACCAAGAGGGAGCAACAAACAAAAATAAGACATAAGCTAAAAGATCAAACCATACTGATTAAAAAGGAATGTTTGCTATTTTAAAGCTGCTGCTTCTTTAAAAAGTACCTATATTTTCAGCATTGTTGAAAAGCTTCTAACAAACAAATTATTACCAATGCATGGCTTTAAGAATTCTTCCAACTTCCTCCAGAAAATCCCTGGCTTTTCAAGCCAACTAATTTGGAAATTTAGCAGGGGATGGCGATGCACACCTGTAATCCCAGCATTCAGGAGGCTGAGGCAGGAGAATTGCCACAAATTCGAGGCCAGCTTGGACTACATAGTGAGATCAACCTGGAATACATATCGAGAACCTGTCTCAAAGAAGGAAAAAAAAAAAAAACCTAAAAAAACTAAATAATTTAATAAAATTTGCAAATTTATAATTGTATAAGCCCTTTAAATTTAGCATCATAATTGCATTTTGGACTGAGGCGCTATAGGCGAGTTGGAGAGAACACTGCAATTTTCGTTTTGTAAACTACATATTCAAGTAGAATAGAACATGAACAGAACATGGTCCAAGGAGAACTGGAGCTTGAGCTGGGACCTCAAACTTGTCTCCTCCCAAAAGCAATTATCGTTCACCTCTCCGTAGGGCCAACAACAGGTCCGTCCAGACGCTAAGGCCCGGGACTTCGAAGTCTCCGCCCCGCGCCCTGCTGGACTCCAAGGCCGCCAGAACTTCTTCCTGCAGCGGGGGAGGGGCGTGCCAGAGGCTCCGAAACTTGAGGAGCAGCTCCTCCCAAGGGACGTCTTGGGACTCGGCTCCAACCCAGGTGCCTTTCTGAAGGTCATAGTGCAGCCGGGCCCCCCAGTCTGTCAGGAGGCCCAGGTAGGCGCGAGAGAGCGCAGGATGGCGACCCGCCACCGAAGTCAACAGCTCGGCTGGGAGGTGGCGGCAGAAGGCAGCCAGGACCTCCGACTGCTCCAGAAGCCACCGGACTAGCAGCTGACTCTCCTCTCCAGGTGTCTCCGGACCGCTCGCTCCCAGCTCCTTTTCCAGGGGCTGCAGCAGCGCCACGGCCGCGACCTGCAGGAAGTGGTCCCGCGGCGCGCGCGTCCACACGCGGCCGAGCCACCCGCCGGGGTCCCCCGCCTCGGCCTCCCGGGCTTCCCGCAGCCGCCCGAGCAGCAGCTGCGCCTGTGTCAGCAGCACGGGGTCCTCGGCCAGGGCCGGGCGCTCTCCGCCCGGGCTGCCCGCCTCTCGCAGCAGCAGGAGCGCGGCGCGGTAGCGGGCCAGGCGGGCCAGGCGGGCCTGTAGCTCCTCCGCGTCGGCGTCCCGGGGGCCGGCGCCCGGCAAGAGCTGCAGGAGCAGGGCGCGGCCGGCCGCCTCGCCCAGCGCCCGGTTCCGCAGCAGGCTGAGGAACAGCTGGACGTCCCCGCGCCCGAGGGCCTGAAAGCTCGTTAGGCCCCGGCCCTCCGGTCCCCAAAGGCTGCGCAGCCGCCTTTCCACCGCGCTGCGGATGCGGGCGTGGCCGCCGAAGCGCCGGGCCACGTGGCGCAGGTAGCGAGCCCAGTCCAGGGCCCGGCGCACCGTCTCGGGGCCCCAGGTGCTGACGTGGGCAGTGCCAGACACGGACAGGACCTCGGAAAAGCGCTCCAGCTGCTGCAGGAGAGGCTCCATTGGGCCCGCGAAGGCCTGACTTCCGCGTTCACCTTGGAGACGAAGACGCTCCGCATGCCGATTGGAACAACCAGACAAGGATCCGCCCTCCTGCGATGCTATTGGTCACGGTCCATGTCACTCTCACAGCGGCTTCATCCGGGTTTTTGACTCGGAAATTTTACTTTTTGCCACCTATTAGGGAAGCGCTTAGGGGAGGGGGTTTAAAGATGAGGGCATTTTAGCAAAAATGTTTAGAGCCATGTGCGAGGTGTTGCCGGTGAGGAATGTGTCTGTGCTTCCTTTCGCTTTGAAAATATCACTAAGTGAAAAATTTCTGAGTTTTGCTTAAAAGAAAGACCTCTGTTGAGGTTTATTCATAATTAGATAACCACAGAGACATGCTAATGTGTAGGAGGAAGTTATTAAATCAAGTGTGAAATCACTTTATTTGGGGAAAGAACTGGGCCTCCTATTTATTAAGGTCAGGCACCATCCTAAATTCAGGGCCTTCATATTCTTTGGTTATTAGCGCTGATTAATCGAAACAAAAACATCAACCTCAGGTAAATAAAGTTTTAGAAGAATGTAAAGTTTTATTTGAAAGTTGCACACATTTTCATATTTTCGACGGCAAAATAACTTAATCTTTACACAAATAGCCAACTGAAAGATAATAACGCTAATGGCTTCAGAAGAGAGGACCCATACTTGAATTTACATTTAAGTTGTTCCCTTATTGATGCATTCTACAAATAATTTGCCGACTCCTGCCAGCTGCACTATCCACTAATCCATACCTTTTTTCCAACTCAGTGAAATTGCTGTTATATTAACTCTTTGGAACACACTAACCAAAACTAAGAGGGAGGAGTTTTGTTTTTTAACAAAAAATTTAAAAAGGAAAAGAGACATTTAAAAGGGAGTGTCTTATTTCATTTGTTACAATGAGGATTTCCACACCTTTTAAAAAGTAAAGCAGTTGTGTTCACACTGTTGATTCAGTTTTCTTGTTTGATTTTTTATCAAGTACCACAAACTCTTACTCGATCTTGAAGGAGTTATTTTTATTTTATCCTAAATTTATCATGAATCTTAAAATTCTTCATCTTGACTACTAGAAATTCACAACCAAATGGGCAGCCCACCTTCTGCAACTGTGCACATCACTAATTCATTTATTTGTTCCCTATGTCATATAGTGTAGGGTGCTACAGATTTAGTGGAGAAGTTAGGAGTTCTGCCATTGAAGAGAGACATTAAGCTAATAAATCTGACGGTGATGCAGTAGCATCACCAAGTCTTAGGTGACAAAAAGTCTAAGAAACTGATTTCTCAACTGAATGCTCGAAAGACAAGTGTTGAGGAAAGCTGTCAGGATCACTGCAGTGGATAATATTCTGCAGGGACTTCTGCTGAAAAAACTTTGTCCATTCAAGGAAGTGAAAAAAGCCCCGAAAAGCTTCAATCAGGATGGAGGTGAGAATGTACAGCAAGCTGTGTGTGCAGGTTAACTTCACAGTTTCATAATTTCCACTTAGCTTTTTAAATGTGATTTTATTTGAAACCCTTACTTGAGCATCAGAGTGTACAATCACAATGCTGTAGTTCCTACCCACTTCTGATTAACCTCCATTTATTAAGTAAAGACATTGTCTAAAGAGTTTCCCTCTGAAAGAACAACCTAGAGTTTGGAGCTTCTCCTCTGTGTTCCATTTCGTTCAACAAAATTCAAAGAGCATTTTTTAAGAGGTTGGAAGAAGGTGATGACAAAGCTTCTCACTTTAAGCAACCTTCATTCTTGACACAGGAGTGAGAAGGGTAGCAAAACTACAATGACAGTCAGATTTAGTGTATTTTAAAAAGTGTAGGAATAAAGCTATGAGAGACCATATATAAACTGGCAGGAGAGTTCATTCATTTATTAGTTCACTGTCATGAATTTATTATAGGATATTGATGCTTGGTTTAGGCCACAACATGTTTAAATGAATCATGAGATAAAGGAAAATCCAAGTGAGAGAAATAACAAGATAACACATGAGTATCTGAATGTGTATACTGTGTGCTGTGAATAGGAAGAATATTCTCTCCCTTCCTGGTTATGGTCTTTAACTTCCTGGACTATAATGAATTAGGACAGACAATAGAAGGACAAATATTAGTAGATTTTATTAAAATAAAATGTCATTCAAACCATGAGACTTGAGCAACATAACCTAAGAAAAAGAGACTCACAAAGGATCTACCTCTGGGAAAAATTAAGTGAGGTCATAAGCATAACATTCTCATATGGATTTTGTGGGCAATAGCCTCTGTATAATGACCATGCAGATTGGAGTACTAACCACAGTGCAGCTTAATAGGTAGGTTCTGATAATTTTGAGCCAATCATCCTTATATAACTAGGTCTTATTCCATAATTTAGGAAACTGCCTTTAAGCCTTTCAGTGTATACCATTCCCTAATGATAGAAATTTGTTCAGTATCAGCCAGGAGAGTGAATTTCAATCAATGAGGCATAAGAAATTCAGAGGAAACTTTTCTTCTTTACTTCAATGTCAGTAGGTGAGTACTGAGGTGAATGGAAAGTCATGAGAGCCTGTGTGAGATGTACAAGCTGGATATCAGGCAGGCTTGTAGGATGGTTTCTCTCTTCCTTTTAACATTGGTATATATTTGTATGTAGCATAAAGTTTACACAGACATCTTCCCAGAACCAAAACAATCTCAGTCACAAAGAAATACTGGATTTACAATTACGTAAACCTGTATATATCCAACTGCTTTTTTGGTTTGACTGTTTCAACCAGGCTTTACAGTCATTCAAAAACCATCTTAACGGTTTATCAACATTTCTGGTCAATAATGCGTTTCAAAGAGATCTTTATTTAAAAATCTTGATCAGGAATTGTGACTGACCCTTTAAAATATAAACGTCAGTATAAGAAATGTATTCTTGAAGCAAGATTAATTTTTCTCTTAAAGAATTTTAAATGTTGAGATTTTCTATCAATGTAACATTTGAAATCATCTCAATTCCCTTATCATACAAAGTAATTCCTTCAGTTTTTTCTTCCGAACATTTTAAGTGTTTTTCTTCCGAAATTTAAATCTTTGGCTGACTGCCTGTGCCTTGATATGAAAAAGGTTAGAAACACTGCTTTAGCATAAATAGTCTAACATACTTCGCTAAGGAAAGGGGCAATAGAAAGGACATTGTATTCACATTAACTTGTTTTAATTGTCTGTACTTAGAATTGGGAGAAAGTCATTCCTCATTTGTGTTTCTACTCACTTTCTCCTTTGTTTGCTCTGAGCTGCGGAGTGGTTTGATACTCTTGGCTGTTTCAGCCTTGCCCCTTTTCCCAGTAGCTTTCTGTGGAATAACCACCTGTGAGAATCATTAGTAAAGCCAGGACTGGAGGAGAAATAAGTGGGATTTTTCTTCCCCTGCTCTCTGCTAAAGTCTCAGATTCTTCTTTTGTCTTCTGCACAGTCAGACTACACTGAGCTTGAGGTAACACACAGAATTTACTGCTATTGCTAATCCCTGCATGTCCTACATCCCTTATTGACTTACAGTATTACTAGTCTTCCCTAGCCCAACCTTCTGTAAATATTGCTCTGTCATCATCACAGTCCTTGAGAACTTACTCTTGTGTTTTGTGAGGACCTCAACTGATACAGTCGCCAAAATTCTCAGCCCTTCTTCTAATGAATGTAAGTTTGTGAGTCATAGTACTATGTTCTTCAGGGAATAAGAAGTAGTCTATTGCATGGATTTTAAATACCTGTTATTGCCTTATATTATTGACAGTCTATGAAAAATCATCACTACAGTGATGAATGAACAGTCCATGACAGAAGGTGGGAAACCTTGCGATACAGGTAAAGGGGAAAGTCCTTTATATTTTGGAAAAGGGAAGTGTTTGTACATGGATATTGACTGTGAAGACCTTAGGTAGAATGCCTTACTAAGGAATTAGATCTGTGTTCAATTGACATTAAATTCTAATGGTAATTTCAAAGCAAAAAATGATTAGATCATATTTGTTATAAAGACATAAAAAATTGATTCTCTACATTGTCATTTGCTGAGACAACTGGCTAGATTTGGAGGGCCCCTAGGAAATTCTTCACTAGTCCTAGTAAGCTGCATGACAGTCTCCATGAACAAATGGCAGAGGAAAGATGAAGGAAAACCCTCAAGAGATCTGAAAGTTTTTTCTGAAGATGAATCAATGGATGTTGAGAAGGAGAGATTTTTCTGTTTTATTACTTCAGTGATTGGATGATGTCTATTTATCTTTAAAATGAAAGTAGTATTCATTTGGATTGAGATCAGTAATTCAAATGAATGAAAAAAATTCATAGAGAACAGGCTCAGTGGAAATTCTTACATATTTGCTTATTAATTCTCGGCTACTGTAATTTCTCATACTCTGTTGGATCTCTGGGTCTAGCATATTATATAGTAGAATAGATAGTGAATGCTGTATATTTCCAAGATATTCAGAAAGCATTTTGAGGGGATCAGTATCTTAAATGAAAATAACAATGACATACTTGAGAATTTCCAAGAAATGTAAAAAGCAAGATAGTTTTATCCACTGAAATGATTTTATGTTCCAGCATTAACACATCAGTATGTGTGGCTGATTATACAACAATGTAGAACCTTATCTGTAGGTTATTTTAGACTCATTCCCTCCTCTGTTGTTGGGATCAAAATTTGGAAGGAAGAGAACTGCAACACAACTAACTTCTGTGGGACAATTTATTTTATTTCCCTGAAACCTGGGAGCCTTTGTGATTCCATTCCACTTAGGGCATCGAGTCCAAAGGCCTAGGTATGATTGTTTTTTAAGAATAATTTTATGTAGTAAAATGTGAATGAATGAATATTGGGAAAATCATAAATGTTCTTGTTTGTTTGCTAAGATTTACTAATTCATGAGGGTTTTTGTTTTTGTTTTTATTTTTATGTTTTTCTGATACCAGGGATCAAACTCAGCGTGGTGCCACTGAGCTGA